ATACTCCGTCTGATAATAAAACATAACAGTCGAGAGGTTCGGAATGGAAACATGTGCTAGGAAAAACCAAGCCATTGGTCTGATCAGAGAAAGTAAAATCAAATGTAAGCAAGATTAAAATTCAAAATATATCCACATCCTGAGAAAAGTAGCGAATTATATTTCCAGAAAAAAAAAAAAAAAAAAAATTAGATTGACATCAGGACCAAGTAGCAACGATGGGAAGAAACATTTAACATTTAATTTAGACTCCCTAGATCTCTCTAGAGTTTCCCCATAAATTCCAGACTCTTGGAACTTTTTATTCACAGACCAGATCATTGTGTGTTACAGGAACAATGCAGATCTAGAGAGGGAAAATCTCAACGTGTGCTTTCAACTGGCATGGAAAGAAACTCAAGTAAATAAACAAAAATTGAATTACCTTAAAATTAGTGGTTGTTTAAATGCGTGGCACAAACTATAAGTGGCTGCTTTGAGAGAGTGAAACCACTGTGAAGCCAATGAGTCTTCTTTTCCAGCAATCTCGAGTTTACCAGAAACTGATTTCTTTTGCTTGCCCTTATTGCTCTTCTTTCTCCTTGACAGGGTGGTATTGGATTTCTTCTCCGAGAAATTATCATCATCTAGAAAACTACTATTCCCATTCACTCCATCGGAGCTTCTTGAATCAGACGATTCAAGCAAAACTTTACTATCTACAGATTTCTCCTCAACCAAGCCACATGACAACAACTGTATGGACGGTAGAACAGAAAAAAGCAGAAAAATTGTGTGTATCTGTAAGTTGGTCAGTGCATATCCTCCTAATAAACTCCCGCATATGCCACCAAAAGCCATTGCCAACCATGATATCGACTGGAGGTCTCCAGCAAATGAGGCCCTGATAAAGGTAATTTTAAGATATCAAGTTGTATCCTTTAACATATTAACAAGGGAAAAAAGATCCATGATGAACTAGACAACAAAATTTCAGCAGAAATAAGGGGGAATGAAATATGCGAATCTTCATTTGGGGGAATACAAGACATTTACAGGGAAGCCTATGATAGGGCCAGTTACAATCATGCTAATTCCCAAAATTAAGGCATGAAAAGTAAGCAGTTCATCTGATTGCATGCCAATAGATCTTTATGTTGGCAAAGTAAGTTTGCAGGGTACTTGATATGCAACTCAAACTGCATTGCAAAGAAATTGAAAGAATCTCAGTTTTGCACGTACTTTTCATGTCTTACTGCCTCAGCAATCATTGCATCAACTACTACATCTGCCATGGCTGAGCCCAGGTTCTGGACTGTTAAGAAGGTCATGAATTGCCAACTGGAATTCCTCAATGTCGCATTCAGGCCGAGAACAAGCCATGGCACAAGAGAGAGCACAGTTGCAATCACTAAGTAGGGAACCCTTTTTCTTCCTTTTATTGGAATACAATCAGACACAATTCTGCATAAAAGACACGCAAAATCAGGTTCGAAAGAACTAATAAGAAAATGCAAGCACAAAAAAGGCAGCTTTAATGCTTGGACTGCAAACTCAGGAACAGCAAGCTAGCCTTTTTTTTTCCTTTGGGCACTCAAATTAATCGCCATTGAGATGGCTAACTCTATGTCTGTATTTGCCCATGCACTCGCATGAAATGTATTAATATGTGGGTACATTGCAAAAGACAAAAAAGCATGTCCCCCATTCTGACTCTCTGAGCTATAACATAAATTCAATGCTTAGGACGACAGTACCCTTCTGAGAATAAGCAAAAGAATCAAGCACATCTTTTGTCACATTACATGATGATTTCTTTTTCATTAAATTACTCCAAATTTGTTTCTAAATGGCTTCACTACGAGGACTAATTTGTGCTTTGAATTCAAATAAAAATGGATGCAAACAAGCAGCACATAAGTTTTATGGAAGCTGTTACAAAGAAGAAAGCTTTTTAATGCTTACATACTTAAGAACACATCTAAATTATCTGAAATATCGAAAACGTGCACGTTCCTTGTGTGTACTGAGTAACAGAAGATCCGTACCCGTATAGCGGTTTAATGCTCCATGGAAAGAAAGCTATCGAAAACGCGAACTGGGAAGACGATGGAGACAACTTAAGCCTATCTTTCAGCTGGTAAGACACTGCCGTCCATACAAAGGATCTGAAACCCTGCCATACATCAAACAGGCACTTATCAATCACCATACAAAGGATCTTTCAGCTGGTAAGCCACTTATCAATCACCATACAGATTCTTCTTAAAACCCACATCCAAGAAACAATTTCACATCAATCGTGTTCAATTTTGATACTTTGAAAGATCAAAAATTTCACATGCCTCCTAATATCATTCCCAACTTCTAAATAAGGACACTTTCAAATACAGATCTCTCTCAAAAATCACCCAAATCAATAAAAACACAAAACCCAGAAACCCAAAACCTTAGAATCCCCAATCTCCACCTCCTAGAAGCCCAAAAAACCTCATTCCGCAAAGCCCCAGAAAATTAATTTCCTCAAAAATCAAGAAATTAATTAAACAGCGAGATTCAAAGTACACCAGGATCAACAAAAAATATATAATTCTAGAGAGAGAGAGAGAGAGAGAACCTGGGTGAAGTAAATCAAGCAAACGAGCCAGATGAACGAGGCGCCAAATGCAGCTCTCAACCTCGTCAGCCATTGTATCATTTTTTCTCTGGGAGCTTTGAGTTCGAGCTTATTCTGCGTCTGTCTATCGAACGCAGACAACTCAATGTTTTTTCAGTTTCTTATTTGGAGTCTTCCAACGGTTTTTCCATTGGGCGTTAATTTGTCCGATGGACAATTTTACCCCCCATTTCGCATCTCGCTTTGTAGACTTGTAGTGGAAAGTTGCCTTTCATGTTGGGGGGCCGTGGCGGGGGAGTGAGGGTAGATTTTCGACATTTTGCGGTGCATATAGTTAATAGATTACACGGCTGCTGGCCACGTCCAGAGGTCCTCCCATATCTTGACACCTCAGCGCCGGGGCCCATATATAGTTAATAGATTACATGGCTGCTAGCCACGTCCAGAGGTCCTCCCATTTCTTGACACCTCAGCGCCCGGGTCCACAGTAAGCGTACGAGTCCTCATATTAATCAGACAAGATCCTCTCTAAATCCATCCATTAAGGATTCGGGGATCCGTGAATCGTTTCTGTTCATCATACATCGTGCGGTTAGTTTTTGTTAAGTACTATTTAGGTTTATTTTTAAATAAAAATATTTAAAATGATTTCTGAGTACGCGATGTACGATTAACGTACATGATTTAAGAATATAAGGAACTATCACAAAAAGAACCCGACAAGGATCCAAACTCCACATTAATGGACTATAAACTAGAAGTTGGCTAAATGATAATGGTTTAGTATTATTATTCAACTTTTGTGGTTTTAGATTCGAATTTTGTGGCAAATTCGAAAGTCTCTAATTTTTATAAGGGTGAAATGACAAGGAGACTCTTTTAAAGTGTGATATTGTATAAGTTTATATCACTTCACAGTTTAACGTTAATTTTTGTGTCAGTATTAAGAAATATTGTACAAAAAATATGAGATAGAAGAGAGTCCATGAAAAGTCTTCCTTTTGAGTCTTCTTAGCTCTCTTTATAAGGAAAATATTAGCATTCTCTCTTTGGGGAGAAGCTCATTCCTTTACTTGCAACTACTGTATCTTCATCATAAAAATTGGGAAGTATTATTGACACTCTAAAAATCTCATTCTACACTCCTCACAAGTATATTTTTCTTTCCAAATATAGAAAGTTTGGAGTGTAGAATGAGATTTTTGAAGTGCCAATAACAATTCGTTAAAAATTTCATAATTGAAACGGTACAACTCTTAATCTTCATTTAAAAATAAACATATAAAATATCATTCGAATAATAGATCGTTTAATCATTAAAATATATCAAATAAATCAATAATTTAGGTATCAAATAATATATTCATAATGAACGTTGACTTATTTGATATATTTGAATGACTAAACGATATCCAATTTGAATGATTTTTTGCAGCAATGATGGTAAAAGATTGAACGGTTCTGATCATTAAATTTTTATGATAAAAATACATTATTTGCAAGTGGCAGAATGAACTCATCCCCACATAATTAAAATAGCACTATCCTTTTTATAATACTTTGAGCTCTAAGTTGATTGGTATTTTTCTTCTTCTAATGGTAAAAAGATGTTTCAAATTTGGCAATTTGACTGTTCTAATGATTCTACAATTTTCGGTTGCCAAAAAATAATAGGCCCATTGAAAAATGGATATATACGTGCTATAATAATAAGTTTATAGCAAGATGTATTTTTGGATTGCTAGTTTTAGAGTTAAATTGGCTTCGGCCGATAAAGGGCGAGAATCCAAATTCATAACCTAGGGCATCGAAAAAGCACTTTAGCTAAAGAGAGATGCTTCTACGTGCTTTTACAACCTAAGAAACTTTTGTTTCGAACGTCTTCATAATTCATAAACAAGAAAATTGTAGCAACTTTAATTTAATTGGAACAATGATCATTCAACTGAAAATCAATGATCATTGATCTCTTAACTTATCAAAACGTGCATTTATAATCTTTAGTTACTTGTAAACTTCGTCAAAATGAGTTATATTGGAAGAATCATTACTATAGTTGGATTATAGTTGAGCGATCATTGCTTCAACTGGATTAAAGTTGAAGTTAATGGATCATTGTTCCAACTGAGTTAAAGTTAAGAAATCATTGCTCTAATTGAATTAAAATTGAAGGACCTTTGCTCCAACTTCCTTTTCATAAAGGTTCTTTCTTTATTTTGTGAAAGCACTTTTTTGAAAAGCACTCCCAAACAGCCACTCATACCCAGTGTCCAATTAGCCAATCACAGAGGTGACAACAGCAGGTGCCGACTGCCAACGAGTTAGATTTGAAGCCAACAAAACCAAATTGAAATTCTCCAATAATTCTAGGCTAATTTGGTAAAACCATATATTCAAATGATAATTGACAGAAAAATGTCTCTTTGTATTCCATATAACAGTGTTACAAATTTAAAACTATGAAATATAAATGAATAAATGAATCCACACAAAATAGTAAATTGAGAACCAAAAGTCTTAAACACCCCCACTCTACATAACAATGACTGCAGCGAAAACCCCAACGGCTAGAGCTCCGGCGGCGGAGAACCGATTCAAAACGGCACCATTGGTAGGAACTGGAGCCTCGGAGGGAGATCCAGAAACTGAAGAGGGAACAGCCGCCGGAGACGACGATGGGGGAGAAGGTGGGGAGTCGGCGACGGGAGATAAGGAAGGCGAAGACGATGGTGCAGTGCTCGATGGAGAAGGAGCGGCGGCCGTAGGTGGAGTGCTCGACGGAGAAGGAGCGGCGGGAGCTTGTTTGGGAGAAAGCGCAGGAGACTTGGCCGGAGACGATGCAGGAGATTGCGCCCCCGTCGAGGCCAGCAAGAGGGAAGCCATTAGGACCAAAATGACGCCGCTGAATCGAGCCATTTGTAGAGAGAGAAACTTTGACAGAGATTTAGAGAGAGAGAGAGGAATCTAGTGAGGGTTTGAGAATTGAGAGGCGTGTTGCTGATGGGACTTAAGGAGAGGAGATCGGGGGTTTATATAAAGGGAGGGGGAGGAGACGCGTGGTGTGTTGAATACCGTTGGACGGTCGAGATTTTGTCGCTGTGATGATTGAAAGTCGGTAAAGAAAACGTGTTAACAACTCAGAGGCGAAATACGGTTTGTTTAGTGGACCGGGCTGGCTTTTTTTTAATGGCCGTTGGATGTACGCTTTACAGCGTGTAACGGTTAATTTTCCGACGGTGCAGATGGTAGGTTATCTGGCAGATTTGCTTCTTTTTTTTCTTTTTACTTTATTTTTGTCGGACTTTTCCTTTTCCTTTTGAAATTTTTTTCTTTTCTTTTCTTTTCTTTTTTGGCACTCCAAGATTGTTTTATTAAAGCAAACGGATCCTTTCTTTCAATTTCAAGTGCCAACACGGTCCACACCAAGTGGTCCAGTAATAAAGCTGTAGATTGTAGTTCTCTAAAAAAACAAAAAAATATGGAAAGTCTTGAATTCAATGCTCAAAGTTGGTGAGTCTACTTAACTGTGGTTATGAACAGTGTAAAATTTCATATAGCCTCTTCGGGACGGAAAAAGGTAAATAACAGTAACTTGCTACCAATTGTTTTGTTAAACCAAAAAAAAAAAAAATTCAATTCAAGTGCTAGAGTGGAAAATTGGAGATAGGGCGTGTTGGCTAAGATAATAATTTTTTTTATCGTACCAAAATTGTAATTTTATTGTATATACAAAAAAAAAACAATTAAATAATTTTTAATTTGTTTGATTTATGTAAAATTAAAATGAACGGTTTTTACAATTAAGCAAATATATCTCTGTGAGCTAACTAAGAGTATCTCCAAATGAGATGTCAAAAGATAAATGTCAAATGTTAATTTGATGACTGATATGGTAATGTCAAATTATTTTTTTCAACCAATATTTCTAGCCAATATATTTTTTTTTGTTATAAATAATATTTGTATGATCCATTTTAAAAATAAATTTTCAATTTTTATAATTGGTGCATTAGTGGGATCCATACAATAAAATAATTAAAAATTAGTTGATATCTTTTTTTCTCATATGTCAATCTACATAGGATTGACATATCGGTTGAAGTTTGCTCATACTTTCAAATTTGATTACATGACATTTCAGTTGAGATTTGTCTTATGCTTTAGCCCAAGTGAGATTTGAAAAGAAAGAAAAAACACAGGCAGTAATTCAATTGTGAGAAGACTCTGTGCTTCACATGTTTCACTTTAGGGGTTTAAATTAGGGTGTGACTATGTCATCGTTTATGTTTGTTGACCTATTTTCCATATTTTCATTAGTTTATATCGTATTTTTTATGTTCGTTTCTTGTTTTTGTTGCATTTTATTTTTATTTTTATAAATTCTAAGAGAAAGGAACTACGTTTATTCGGTCATTTCTTACCAATTTTTTTTAAAAAAGCTAGTTTTAGAATGCACCTAGGCGGTTTTTGGGGCAAGGATAGTGGCAAAAACTCCCTAACACAACCAAACTGGGCGGCATGAGATTGGTGCGAAGGATTAAAACCTTGTCGGCCTGGATTCACTATGTACATGGTTCCAATTTGAAATTAACATGCAGGTTCGATTAGGCTCAAGAAGCTCCTCGAACACACCAATTTCGTCGTCTCATATGGCCAAAAACAGAAGTTATAGACGAGTAGGGTCGGAACTCCAACATATCCTATCATTAAAATAAAATAAAAAAAATACTAATATCGATTATGGGCTAAAAACGGTCAGGTGATTATTTCAGTTTCTTCTTAAGCCGGCCCTTCAGGATCCCGGGCAAGAGCCGAGTTACGTAGGTACTTGGATGAATCATGAATGTAGGGGTAATTTGGTGATAACACACTGAAATAATAATCGGAAAAATGTATCTCTATATATTCTCACATAACAGCGCTACAAATTTATAAATAGTGAAATATAAATAAATAAATGAATTTAGTACAATAATAAATGGAAATTCAAAAGTGCATAAACACCGCCACTCTACATAACAATGACTGCAGCGAAAACTCCAACAGCTAGAGCCCCGGCGGCGGAGAACCGATTCAAAACGGCACCGTTAGCAGGAGCGGGAGCCTCGGAGGGAGATCCCGAAACTGAAGAGGGAACAGTCGCCGCCGCAGGAGACGACGATGGGGGAGGAGGTGGAGAGTCGGCGACGGGAGATGTGGAAGGAGAAGCCGCTGGTGAAGTGGTCGATGGAGAAGGAGCGGCCGTAGGTGGAGTGCTCGACGGAGAAGGGGCGGCGGGAGATTTTTTGGGAGAAAGTGCAGGAGACTTGGCTGGTGATGATGCAGGGGATTGCGCCCCGGTCGAGGCCAGCAGGAGAGAAGCCATTAGCACCATAACGACGCCGCTGAATCGAGCCATTGTGGAGAGAGAAGGAGAGAACTCAAACAAAGATTTTTAGAGAGAGAGAGAGAGAGAGAAGAATTCTGTGAGGGTTTTGAGAATTGTGAGGCGACTGAGTGAATGATGGGTTTAAGTAGAAGGGTTGGAGGTTTATATAGAGGGAGGCGGAGGACACGTGGCTTGAAGAATACAGTTGGACGGTGGAGATTTTCTGGCTGTGATGATTGAAAGGTCGGGTTGGAAAACGTGTTAGCAAACTGAGACCCGAAACGCGCTTTGTTTTATCGGGCTGGTGTTTTGACCGTTGGATGTGTACGTTTGCCGATAACGGTTAGTTTTTCTACGGTGGAGGTGGTAGGTTATCTGCCAATTTAAGGGCAGAGCTTCGAAAATTGGAATCTAAGAAACGGGCATTGACTGCTACAGTTGTTATTTTTATTTTGTACATTGAGAAATCAAATTTGTTTATTTAGTTATAGGGTTTAATTGGATTCATACGATCAATGAATTCGATTTATTTGGATTCATTACTATATTTTTGCACTACATTTAATAACGTACGATGTGACGTGCTTAATTGATATCAAATATAATGAAACAGAATTCTTGATTAAATTATACATCACTTTATCATATCGTGTGATTTAAAAATGCTATCTGACTAGTAGTAGTGTTATATTTGTAGAAGAACAATACTTGGCTACTCAAAAGACGAGTAGGAGTTCATACTCAAAACAGTTCGTTGTTGTTTTAAAGAACTTTGTGTATATGATCGGAACCGTTCAAATTATAAATCATTCTACAAATATCGGCTATACATAAAATCACTTAAAACTAAAGTTAGTCACTGAATTGTATAAAATAAATGAACAGAACTGGTAAAAGCATTACTGACTTTGTGTATTTGCTACAATAGATTGACTAAACGACTTTAGTTTTAATTCATTTTTTTGTAGAGATGATTTTTACAAAGTGACTCATAATATGAATGGTTTTTATCATAAGCACAAAGCTCTTTAACTCGAATACGGAGAATTTTGAATCATTCCAACAGGAAATCCAAACTTTTTTTTTTTTTTTTCCTGATTCTACTTTAAAAAGATTCATTCTCTTCATAAAAAATAGGAAGTAGAACCAATAACGATTAAGAATGATTTCTTAAAACGTTCCTGCTCATTCTTGAGTAGTCAAGTATTATTCTTTGTAAAATATACAGCGTGGGAGCATGAAAAAAAAATAAAATTGTTTTGAGTCTAGAGAATAAAATCTGCTCTATATGACCCGCCGAATAACCAGGCCTTCATGGGTGGACTTGAGCCTAATGATCGAATGCTTTGGATGAAGAAACGCATCATGCTTTAGCCCGGGCCAATCATAAAATGTAAATGACTGTAACAATGGGAGGATGAAAACTGCATTTTCGATATACATCGTTTGTATTCCTTTTTCTAAATCTCTAGAATTTTGCATACGGCCGATGACTTGATGAACACGAAACCTGTTACAATTTACGATCGATCGGAGTTCCTGCAAGAGTGTCATGACTCGCAAGACGCTTAACTCGAATCGATGAAAGCTAGTTTTCAACAGCAAAGTGTATCTGTAAGCTATTCCAATCAAGGATTGGGTTTTAATACTAACAAGAACGATGTTCGGCACAAACTACATGACACCATTAATCTCACACAAGCCCTGTAATAATTACATAATCTCTTTCCCCCTTCCTTTCAGTTGAAGCAAAGTTCATACTGCAACTACGGAATAAAGATGTACATCGATCCTAGAATTCTCAAATGCAGTATGCCGGTACAATTGCTGGTTGATAGACGAAAGTTTTAACGGTGTGAGAGTAGCCGGATGGGTGACTGTAAGTGAACTTTACGCCTGAGCTACCACCCCCGAGATGAGTGCAGTGCTCATGGAAGCTGCTGATAGGTCGTGCCAGGCATGCATCCCACCTGTCACTCTCGGGCATTGTCTCTGCCACCGTATATACCCCCTTATCATTCGTGAATGCCTGGTAATTTAGAACTTCCCCTGATTTCGTAATGCACAGTACAGCTACCTCAGCACCTGCACCATAATGAATCAAAGCTCAAAATTATTCACTTCACCCTTCTGCATAGTAAATGCACCCTAGATGGCGGTTAAAAGCTTAAACGCCCTATACCATTTTAACTTCATTTCCAGATTCAAATAATAAAAATCACCAGAAGACCGCGTGGATGTGGACTTATCATAGTTCATGTAACAGGTGGACACAAAAACTAGTAGACGTAATCACCCAACAAAAAGGTTTTAGAAAAGCACATTGGGATGAATAAACTGCATCTTGTTTTCATGGTTTATATATTAAAAGTTGCTTTCTAAAATCTACAAAGTCATGAAAAGAAAAAACCCGACTTGTAAGTTGTGTTTGTGAGGATGTCCTAATGCTTTAAAGGGTAGAACTTCATCCAACAAGATCAACCTCAAGATCAAGTGTAAAATGCATGCGTGAACATAATGAAATAGCAGTTATGTCAAGTTTTTTCTACTAATTGGACCAAATCACTTAAATCTCATGTTCGACCATTGGAAATGGAACCTAGAATCCATGTACCAGGATGTCAATACATTTTCTATCAGATTGCTACTGAAATTATTCAACCACAATATTTTCTGTAAAGATAAGCAAAACTATAACATGTTTCCTACTGAGCAAAATGATTGGGCACCTGTTCCACACCTTGATAGCAATTCGCCAAACCAATACAAATTCAAATATCATGGTCGCCCTACCTGTTTAGCAAATGTTAAATGCAAATTTGGATTTCTAGGCAATTTTTATGTCTTTTTTAAGTACATGAATCACCACGTCTTGATAATCACACGGTATTCTTGATGAAGTACAAATGCATAGAAATCAAATTGTTCAAGTATAAGAATGGTATGAGAGCGATTTTTGGAATGACATAAGACCTGGTTGAAATTGGTGATGGAATACGTACTTTCAACGTGCGATCCACCTCCTTTTTCATCCTTTGTGTGTTAGTAAATGCATGATATGTCAGGAATGAGAATGATACCATCCCTTTCATTCCCATTTCGAGCAAGTAAACATGCCGTTAGGCGACAAATTCAAATTGGAATATGAAAAGACCTTGTGCAGTAAAATGACATAAATCAGTTGTTCTACTCGTGTGATCTAAGTTTACTTGTAAAGATTTGCTATCGTTCTAAGGACTAGGCGAAAACCTGAAATTCTTATACATCTTCGTATCTAGGACGCGAAAAGTATTCCAAACCCGTTAATCATAGAGCTCAAACAGAACAATAAAATTACAAAAAATCAGACTGGCAAAATAATCAAACAACAATACCAAGAAATTTCAATTTTTTCAAAATTCTCCGAAAAATCATGTCACTGTAATCTAATTACGCTCTTAAACAAGCTGGCAAAACACATCCGAAAAACATCAATGGGAAAAATGAACCATTTTAATGATCATCCACAACCCATCAAAATTACCGCCCAATAACTCAAACAGATGAACGAGAAATGATAAAAAAAAAAAAAAAACTACCAACCCATAAAAATCACAAGCCAAAGATAAAAACCCAGCTCAGAATTTTCATCAATAACAAATAATCATAAAAATAAATAAATGGGTAATCGGTGGGTTGAGCAAAGAGAGAGAGAAGCTGACCTTCTAGAACATGATCTTCAGGTCCGACGGCGGAGTCGCCACAGACATCGCAAACAACTCTGCCGTGGATTTCACCAGTCCAGGCTCCGACGCCGGAGATCAAGACTGTGAAGAGAACAAGTGCCACCGCCACCGCCACCGCCAGCTCCTTCTTCATCGTCTGCGCTTCCATGGCTCTGCTATCTCTGCTCTGTCGGGTTCGAAACGCCCACAACTCACTGTTTCTTCGAAATATGCGTACGCAAAGGTGCGAGTACCTTTGACTCTGTCCCACTGGGCCCGACTTCTCTGTTGTTGCGGGACCTACTGCTTCTTTTGCTTTGTTTGGCTTTAGTGTCGGTAGAGTTTGGAACTGAAGGTAAAGTATATTGTTCTCCTTCGTTTGTTTATCAAGGGTCCGTTTAATACCCTTTTTTTTCGGAATATAAACTTTTTTTTTGGTTCAAAATTCGTTTAATAATTATTTTTATTTTAAAAAAAAAAAAAATGAAAATTAAAGAGTAAAAATTATAAAATAAATCTGAAAAGATAAAGAAAGTGACTTCACTTTTGGTATGAAAACTAAAAACTTTGAGTAATTATCAAATGATTTTCATTTTTTTTAAAAACAATTTTCAATTTCTAAAAACAGAAAACAAATGGTTTTCAAATGGCCCATAAAAGAAATGAGATTGCAAGATTTAGCATAATATTTACATCCTGAAATTGCAATGAATGAGATTTTACATTGAGCAAATTTGAAAGTAATAATAATAATTGTATCTCTTCGTTGGGGAAGCACATATTCCACTTTTTGTGAATAATGTGTTTTTACCGTATATATTTTATATAAAAAGCGTTCAAATTCTTAATCTTCATTTAAAGATTATCGTTACAAAAATCATTCAAATCAGAAATGGTTTAGTCATTTAAATGTAAGAAACAAATCACCGATACAGATATTAAGTAACATATTCATGACAAATCTGCTGAAATTTGTCAGTTTATTTAGGAAATTAACTAGCTAGAGATTTGATTTGATTTTGTAAAGGGTATATTTGGTAGTTGCACATTAGTTAAAGACGTTGGTTTGAGTTGTGTTGATTTTATTTCTTATGATCCTCTCCACAAAATCACTTCAGGTGATTTTATGGCGGTATACTTCCCAAGCCAATGTGCATTGTTGTGTGGTGTGATTAGTGCTTTACTTCTACACAGCAGTTGCGGACGAAATGGCGAATGGATGCCAGGCCGGAAACAGGTGCGCAATTCTTTGAGCTGTTGGATGTGATGAATCCGACGAGTTGTTCAAGTTGAGGACATGTTTTGGCATAGTAACTAACCGTGAGTTGGCGGCGCGTTTGGTTGGATGAAAATGGTCTAACAAGTGAAAGCAAACGAAGAAGAAGAAGACGATGATGTTAGGCAAACCACATTGTTAGTTTGTTCACTAAGAAACTAATTTCAGAACCTATTGATATATGTAGGCTTTGACAAACAGGCTGAGTAGTTACCAATACATTCCAGCCGCAATGTATAAGCAATGCATGGAACATCTACGAGTTTCTGATATTCCCAGAGTTCGACTCTCGTACTCCATTTTCTTCTGCACACAAAAAACAGAAAGACAAAAACTTCAAAACTCACGATTTCAAGAAGTCAATGCTATGTTGAATAGCAGAAACAAACTGCAAGTGTTTTACACATAATTTGTATTTGTAATAAAGTAACAGAGTGTTGACTTCTTGAAAAATGAAACTAAAATTGCAGGTCTGCTAGCTTGTGCGCAGTAATTCAAGTTTTTAGAATGTTGTTATCGCTTACAAAGTTGCTGTATTGTTAAAAAAAATCAAGTTACTTTGTATGTTCAACCTTATTCCGCTACAAACTAAAAGCATTCCAGATTCAGACAACGATATGTGTTCATCACTTGTGATATTGAAGCGAAAACACAGTAATAAAAGCATGGTTTTGGGCATACCAACTGAAACACGGCCTTCGTTTTAAAGCTTTACTACAATGTACATCCCTCTAACTTGCCTACCATTCTTTCAAGCCTTGTACTGTTGCACACCTAGCTTTAAGCTCCAACAGCTTTTTCTCAAATAAAGAGCTACTGCTAGCACATCCATCGCCTGTGATGCTTACAAAGCCCTCATCGGACTTCATGGTATTAACATAACATACTTCTGCAACTGGAGATGCCATTTTATGAACTTGACCCGATAATATTCTCACGGTCACTACTTTGTCTCATCCACTACTTTCATGCTTCTTTCTACATTTCCGAAATTCTGATATAGTTAGTTTATCTTCTTCATCCATTGGTTCTTCAGCTTCTGTTCGTTTATGTTTGGAAGGAAATCCAGAAGGAACAGAAGGGTGGTTCGCCCTCAATAGTAGCAATTTCATACTCTTTGATCTCTCTGATATCTTTTTCCGTGGCACAGCTGCTTCACATGCATCTTTGGAACCACTTCAAGTAATTTGTGCTGACATCGGCCTCGAAAGGCCAAGATGGAAGATACAGTATTACCTTCTTGGTTTCCTTGGTGTAATGCCTCTTGTGCTTCAGTTGAGTAACAGAACAAGGAAGATCTTGATCGTATCCAAATTGCATAGCTACCCAATGCGGAAAGTAATGCTCTATAGTACCAAAAAGTCCGACTAGCTTGCTGAACCTCAAGCATCTAACAAATGACTGTAGTTCATCACCCGAATCAGGTCCAACCGATGCCCACTCTTCCTTTTGTGGATAGTATTCAGGCAAATGCCAGTTCTCAACGACATCCAATGCATAAGGCCGCCACAAGAACTCTTCTCCGGCTGGGTCTAAAACCTTTCTCAAGTTTTCAACTCCCCGACCGTCTACTTTGCCCCATGTTGCCATTCTTGGCTCGCCATTATTGAGATGATTGGGGTTTTCTGGCCTAAGGTCCGAGAATCGTTCCCATGCCCAAACCTGAACTAACTGAAATGGTAATCGAATGATGAGGTCTGAAACAGCACCACCACTACTTTCTAATTGGTTAGAATCTACGATTGCCTTTTTCAACACACCCAAATCTCTATAAATGCTGGCAAGAACAGCCGGTATAAGGGCGATGCGAGTCCCCCTAGCTAAATGAATTGCTACGGGGATAACATCGTTATATATAATACTACGATTACAAACAAAAACATAGATGCATAGCCAAAAAACAAGAAATGCTTTATGCTCGATTTCATTCCCACCGTTCATGAACTTTCTCTGCCAATGTTGTGCGGTAACTGTTCCCTTATTCACCAATTTCTCTTTTCTCTGCACGTAGTTTCTCATAGATTTCTTTCAGTTGTGAACTCTCCAGAGGGCATAAAATAGAGTCCCCTAAAACCGAAAAACCGCCTAAAACCATGACATCTTCCAACGTGATTGTTGCTTCACCCCATGGAAAAATGAAAGTATTAACACCATTTCTCAGCAAACCCGAAAACCAAATCAGTTTGTCACTTGATTTGGTATGTCGAACTGAAGATCGCTTTGTATATGCCAGCCTTCTTCCAAGTAGATTGGTGCTCAGAAGGAATTTGATGAACCCAAGTTTTCCAATGATTACTTTCTCGTGGAAGCCATCCACGGAAATTGACCTTCAAAGGCCATTTCTTTGGCTTGAAATGTGATGGAAGGGAGGAGAAAAAAGGTGGAAGCTTGGAAAGGGGTATATCAATGGAGGAATTCTGCGAAGTGGGTTTTCGAAGGTAGGCTTTTTTGAGAAATGGGTTGCCACCAGATGTTGGTACCCTCACCTCTTCGCTCTCTTCCACCATGAGCATGGATTCTTCTGCCTTTTCCATCCAAGGCTTCTGAGCTAAGAAGAAAATGGGGATACTCTCTCTCCTAATAAAGTTTTGAACTTTTTGGGGGTTTTCGGAAATGCGATTTTCTGGGCCGCTGTGAATTGGGGTTTTTTTTGAATTTTGTGATTAACTTGAGAATCGAAAATGGTTTTGTCTAATTTCTAATTTCCAATTTCCATTGATGGAATTAATAAAACAGTCCTCTCTTTGTGTGTGACAGTGCGAGTAAGAAACAGTCTGTTCTGGTTGGTCTGAAAATATGGTACGAGGGCTGCTCTATCCTTCTACATTAATGCTCAGCTAGGAGGTGAAGGTCCGATCATGATCCTCCACCTTTCAGCACAATTCTGCCTTCCATACAATGAAACACTTAAATGCAGGTTCACTCTTCTTTCAAATAGAATCGAGATATTCTCCGGATCTCATATTCTAGTGCCGACGGATCGAGAAATTTGGATCATTAATTTTAAATCTTTAGCTTTTTTACTGGCTCATCTCACATAAATCAAGAGTTTGAATCTTTTCTCACTTTCTTGAATGATCTAGATTTCTTAGTTCGAGATTCGAAGAAGATTTGAATTCATTCAAGTAATGTTAGGTGGGAGGGAAGAGAAAATAATTTAAAAATTGATATAAAATTTAAAAAATATATATGTGTCATCCGAGCCTCTAAATGGTCAAATTCATATTCCATAAGTAAAAAATAAGCTTTACTTTATTAATGTGTTTGTAATTTTAATTTAGAATTTTGTACTAAATGGAGTTTGTGAAAGGGTTTGATAGCTTGAAGAAAGAGAATATTAGGACCTTTAGGGTGTGTCTAGAAAAAAAAAAAAAACAAAAAGATTGTTTTAAAAACCTTATGCAATCGAAATAATCATTACATATTAGAGCATGCAAATCAGCCAACAACATGAGAAATGTGCCAAATTACATTAGGTGTTTTTTACAAATCAAATTATGTTAGTTAAAATAGAATAAACCCAAACCGAAAAGCTTCAATATTTCATGTCATGGAGGCCAACAACACAGAAAAATAAAACATATTAGAATCTGAATATCCGACCCAAACCAAATTGCCAAATAGCTAAAAGGGGCTTTGACCTCCAATATGGGATACTCAAACACTATCTAGGCTGGAAAAAGTTCACCCAAACCGGATTCAAAAAGGTATTCCACATTTTAACCGTTGAAAGTGGGGACTTCAATTTACACCCCTTTCTATAGGCCGGAAAATTTAATATTTTCATGTACAAGCCTAAAGATACTGTCATACAAATTCCATTAAACATAAAGAGTAAATATTTAACTCCACAAGTTCAACAGAGAATCGATAAATTAAACGGAATCACGAATTTTGTTCTTCATGGTCAGAATATATGGTTAAAAAAGCAATTAACTTCCTTGATCTTAACAAATTTGCAGGCTTTGATCAAAAGGTTAAGTATTCACCAAAACATATTAGCTGCAATATCCTAGCAAAGCAGTTTCTGATATTTCCACAGTTCTATTCTCTTCCTGAAATTTTCCTGCACCAAAAAAAAAACAAAAGGAAAAATTTTTCTCACTATCTCAAGAGGTCGCATGTTGCATAACAGAAACAAAATGCAAAGTGTTTTATGAAAAGTAATAAGAGGTAAGTACTGATAGGAAGAACAAAAGTGGTAATACTGATTTTATACTTCAGTTAATACAAGTCATATTTCTCACTCTAAACTCTATGTGTTCATCTTCTTCTGTTCATCTTTCTTCTTGATTTTCTCTTCAATTCTCAAATATTTCAATGTAGTTAACAAATTCTGATGTCTCCATATACTATGTTTACGGCATACAGAGTTTTAGGATAAGACCAGTTACAATCTACCTAACTACCTTGGCTTATGGATTATGTCTAAATGTGAGTCTTGTTCCGTCAGTATCGTAGCTTCTTCGGGCATAGTTAGTACTAGAAAGAAAAATGTTTTTACATTTATAGGCTTTACCACTTAAAAATGGCCGTCATGTTAAAAAGATGAAATTAATTTATATGTTCGACCATCTCATTCGGCTAACAATAGCATCCACATTCAGACAGCAAACAAAGCAAAAATAAAGCCAAATGAAGAGAAAGAAGAGTATTCATCACTAAGCAAAAAGCACAGTAATAAAAGCCAGGTTGTGGACATACCAACTAAAGAAAGGCTTCTTTCAAAAGCTTGTCCAAAAGTCACTTCTCTCAAATGAATCTGCTTTTAAGTCCCTGACCATACTTTCAAGCCTTGTACACCTTGCTTTAAGCTCCCGCAGCTGTTGGTCAAATAAGGAGCTACTGATAGCACATCCATTGCCTACGATGCTCACATTTCCCTCATTCGATGTCATCATAGTAACAGAACTTTCTTCTGCAACTGGAGATGCCGAATTATGAGCTTGACCTGATAATTTCTCACGGTCACTACTTTGTCTAATCCCACCACTTTCATGCTTCTTCCTATATTTCAGGACTTCTGATATAGTTAGTTTATCTTCTTCATCCATCGGTTCTTCACCTTCCATTCCTTTATGCTTGTGAGGAAAACCAGGGGAACAGAAGGGTGGTTAGTCCTCAATAGTAGCGATTTCCTACTCTGTGTTGTCTTTGATCTCTTTTTTTGTGGCACAGCTGCTCCACATGCATCTTTGTGACCTGACACTGATTGGTTCCACCACTTCAAGTAATTTGTGCTGACATCTGCCTCGAAAAGCCTAGATGGAAGATACAGTTTTACCTTCTTGGTTTCCTCGATGTAATGCTTCCAGTCTGTATTTGAATTGTGCTTCAGTTGAGTAAGAGAACAAGGAAGATCTTGATCGTATCCAAATTGCATAGCTACCCGATGCGGAAGGTATTGCTCTGTAGTATCATTTAGTCCAACGAGTTCACTCACCCTCAAGCATCTAACAAATGACTGTAGTTCATCATCCGAAGCAGGTCCAACCGAAACCCACTTTTCCTTTTGTGGATAGTATTCAGGCAAATGCCAGTTCTCAATGACATCCAATGCATAAGGCCTCCACAGGAACTCTTCTCCTGCTGAGTCTAAAACCCTTCCCAAGTTCTCAACTTTTTGACCATTTAATGTATCCCATCTAGCCATTCTTGGCTCACCGCAATTGAGACGATTGGGGTTTTCCGGCCTAAGGTCCGAGAAACGTTCCCATGCCCAAACTTGAACTAACTGAAATGGTGACCGAATGACGAGCTCTAAAACAACATTACTACTTATTTCCAATTTGTTTGAATCTACGATTGCGATTTTCAACACACCCAAATCTCTATAAATGCTGGCAAGAACAGCTGGTGCAAGCGCGATTGGAGTCCCCCTAGCTAAATGAATTGCTACGGAGAAAACATCGTTGTGGATCCTATAACGACCACTAACAAAAACATAGCTGCACAACCAAAAGACAAGAAATGCTTCGTGCTCGATTTCACTCCCACTGTTCATGAACTTCTTCTGCCAAATTTGTGTGGTAACATTTCCCTTGTTCCGAGCAATTTGTCTTCTCTGTGCAAGTAGTTTCTCATGGATTTCTTTCAGTTGTGAACTCTCAAGAGGACATAAAACAGAGTCACCCAAAACCGAAAAACCTCCTAAAACCATGACATCTTCTAACGTGATTGTTGTTTCACCCCATGGAAAAGAAAAAGTATTGGTTTCTGAACACCATTTCTCAACAAACCCAAAAACCAAATCGGTTTGTCTTCGTATTTTGTACGTCGAATTAATGATTGCTTCGTAAATGCCAGCCTTCTTCCAGGTAGATCGGTGCACAGATGCCATTTGATCGATCCATGTTTTCCAATCTTTTTGGCCATAAGTCCATCCATGAAATTCAACCTTCAAAGGCCATTTCTGCAGATCGAAATGTGATGGGAAAGAAGAGGAAAAAGGTGGGAGCTTGGAAAGGGGTTCATCAGTGGAGGAATTTTGCAAAGGGGGTTTTAGAAAGTAGGCTTTTCTGAGAAATGGGTTTCCACCAGATGGTGGAACCATCAACTCCTCTCTCTCTTCCACCACGGATTCTTCTGGGTCCTCCATCATCCAAGGCTTCCAAGCTCGAGAAGAAGAAAACGGAAGTATTTTCTCTCTTTTTCCTGAGAAAGTTTTGTTTTTTGGAGGGTTTTGGATTGAATGCGGTTGTTTTCTTCTCCGGCTGCTGTGAAATGAGCATTCAAAATCAAACTCAAAAATCGTTTGACGATAACAGGTCTAATTTTCCATTGATGGAATAAAACAGCTATGAGTCAGAAGCAGGTTCTTCTGGTTGGTCCGAAAATATGATTCGAGGGTTGCTCTAGGAGGGTGAATGTCCAATCACATTCCTCCACCTTCTACGGCCATTCTGCCTTTGTTTTTAAACCAAAAAAAATATTACTTTATTTTATTAACACCACACATATTAGTTGAATATACCACACATACTAAATACATCCCACATCTATTTTTTCAATCAAAATTTATTTTAGTACATCCCACATACTTTCTATACTACCCTCACACCCAAACTTTCTACATACAACTCACATTCTTTACATATATTCAACATTCTCTCATTGTTCATTCTCACCACACCTCTAAATTTCAATGCTCATGCTAAACATGTAAATGCTAATTATAAGATCGATTACATGACATTCGATTGTTGGTTTATTTTACTGGTAAAACATAAATCCAAATTTGTATCCGTCTCTGTTATTCCTCTAGAGTCAATCTCACAAAATTTTGACCTAAAGAAGAATGATAGGACATGGGTGAATTTTTTTATTTTTTTTCAAAACTATAATGGGTTCAATTCTTTTTACTGTACAAAACTTAAAAGAAAGTAGTGCCAACTGCCAAGCTTATCACTTACATAAAAATTTGTTTATATTATAATGGATTTATTTATTTTTTTTTTTTGAGAAATCGAAAATTTGTTTTGGACTAGTTATAGATTTTGATAACAAAAAAATGTTGTAGTTCTTACAAAATCCATAATGAAGTACGTCCGGTTACGAATTCGTAACATTTTATTTTTATTTTTAGGGTTTAGGTTTCTATTAATTTGGGGGTTTTTGTCAATTAGGGGTTTTAGGATTTTAGGGTTCGGGTTTAGACAACCAATTTAGAGTTAGGGTTCATATTAGTAAATAATTTGTGTATTCAATTTATTTTAAATTTTTTGGGGCCAAATAGTTATTTCATGTTAAGAAACATGAGTGATTCAATAATACATATTTATGTAGGATGTATTCAACAATATGTAGGATGCTAATAAAAAAACCCAAAAATATTTCACTAATTAAATAAAAGGGAATTTTAACGAAAACCCAATATGTGGGTTAACTTTTCTTAAGTTGATTTTTTTGACGTGTTATTTTAAGTTTTTTCTTTTTTAATTTTGTAATTTTTTAAATTTTTATGAACCTTTCAACCCAAAAAGATCAAATTCTCACAAAATTATATTTTATCACTTATAAACCGTTCGTTAGATTATATTCTCTTCTCTCAATCTCATCCGTTGCAAATTGGATTTTACTACATTGCCCTTTGAAATAATTTGATTTTCATGTACAATACAACAATTTACCTAGCACCAATTGGTAAATTAGTATCATACAATTTTGAAAAAAAATTATTTGAAAATTTCACTCACCAATGCTCATGAACCTTAAATCAATTTTGAAATTTTAATTCTTATGGAATATAAAACAATCATTAATTAGCCAAATTCTAGAAAAATATGTAAGAAAAAAAATTAAAAAAAAATTAAAAAAAAAGAGTATAAGTGTATTCACAAGTGGAGGGAGAGTGATGAAATTTTGCTCACATAGGTTGCTACTTTTTTTGTGAGACTCACTGTTTTTTGGGGCTAGATGGAGCAAAATTTTATGCTATCCAAGAAAGGAAGTTGCGCTCAAGTGGTGGATCTAATCCCATTTTTTGGTTCATTAGGGATGAAATTTCTCACTCAGGCTTGATGTCACATCTCGGCTCGGGCCCCCACCACAACTCGGGACCGACTCCACTGTAGCACAGTGGGTCATCCATCTTGGGATTGCTCTCGCACGTTACTCGCAGAACTCCGAAGCCAGTGAGCTCCCAAAAGGCTTCGTGCTAGGGAGAGATGAGAATATACATATAAGGCTTACAAGATCCTCACCCCTAGGCGATGTGGGTGTAGACATCGAAATTTCAGTAAAACAAATGTTCACCAATGCATTAAAGTTTTGACGTGTCAAGGCATACATGGCATACGCCACGTATTGTACAAATTGTACACATGGCGTGTGACTCAACAAAATAGGAAGAAATACCCTTGAAGGATTAAACAAGTTTTTCTTCTCATTTTGGGCAATGACAAGGCAAGTACATTTCAATCCATTGAGGATCAAAACAAGTTTTTCTTCTCATGTTGGGCAATGACAAGGCAAGCACACTTCAATCCATTACGGATCAAAGCAAGTTTTTCTCATTTGGGCAATGACAAAGCATACACATTTCAAGTTTAAAATGGTGTTAAGTGGGAAATTAGGCCATAAGTTAGACCACTTCAAGTTTAAAATGGTATTAAGTGGGAAATTAGGCCATAAGTTACACCACTTCAATTTCAATATTGCATTAAGTGGGAAAATTAGGCAATGGTGCTTGGAAAGGAAAAAAATATTTTGTGGTGGTGATTCATTCTCAAAGCCTATAAATAGGCTTCTCCATCAAGGTATCAAGCATCAAGGAATTCACAAATACATTTCTCTACTCCAAAATTAGAAGAGAATTCCCCAAATCCTTGAAGCTTTGAAACTCCAAAGCTTCCAACCATCCGAATTCCCAAGAATTCCGAAGAATCAAGAAAGCTCTCTCTTCGTTCTTCTTTAAATCCTTATTCAAGATCAAGCCCCGACGGCCCTTGAAGAAAGTGTTCATCGTTCATCCTAAGATCAAGCCCCAACGGCCCCTTGGATCAACAACCTCAACAAATCCACACATCCAATCGTTCTTCAAGATTAAGCCCAAAAGCCCTTGAAGATCCGCTCATCCATCAACCTTCAAGATCAAGCCCAAAAGCCCTTGAAGAAATCCACACAACCATTATTCAAGATCAAGCCCCGACGGCCCTTGAAGAAAGTGTTCATCATTCATCATCCGTTCATCAACTGTTCATCCTTAGATCAAGCCCCGACGGCCTTTTGGATCAACAACTCATCCACAAACCTACACCCTACGAAGATAGAATCAGAGGACCAAATTTGAGAGAGATCGTAACCCCAAAATCATTAAACACAAAATATTATTTTGTACACGTTATTCTTGTTTCTTGTTTCAAGGAATCTTTCGTGTTCACAAATTTGGCACGCCCAGTGGGACATCTCTACCTCTCATCTCTATCCTCAAATCATCGAAAAACGCAAATGGCATCAAGAAAGGATCAAGCTGTTCCTGCAATCAAAGCAAAGAACAAGAACATCATCGCCGCAAGTGGTGATATTTCGAGCACCATAACCCGAAGTAAGGCAAGAGCTCTTTTTGCCGCGGCTTCCGCCCCTGCATTAACTCTGTCAAAGGAACAAGAACACCTGAGGCACGAGCCTGTGATCACCCTAGCCTCGCTAAGGGTATCAAGAGGGGAAAGCCTGAGGAAATACTCAGAGTCCCTACTCTCCGACGCTGATTCGAGCGGCAGTACAACCATGCAAGTCATGACCACTGGAGTAACTTCAATCGAGGAGCAGCTAGCTCAGATGAATGAAGCAATCGCAAAGCTTACACGGACTGCAGAGGAGAAAAACTTGCAAACCGCCGGACTCATCAACCGTCTGGAGGCACAACATGGCGTCAAAATGAAACCAAGCTCTCTTCCAACTAAGAAGACCGAAGAAGGCTTTAACCCAAATGCCTACGAACCCATGTCAAAGGCTAGACATGACTTTGCTTCCTCTTCAAATCTTGGAAAGAAGGTTTCAAACATCGTCAATGACAAAGAACGTAACCTCACCTAAACTCAAAAGAAGTTGAAGGAGCATGGTTACGGAGTTGACAACAATAAAGCCGGACTTGGCTTCACACCAAATGCACCCGTGAAGATTTCAAGCAAAGTGAAGAAAGCTAGCGCTCAACACATCAGCGTGAGCATTGAACAAAACCAAAAAGAGCCTAAACCTGCACCTCGGATGTCGGTCTTCGATAGGATGAGCCATTCAAGCTCAAGAATTTCAGCGCTTAATCACATTGGTAGTCAAGGCCGAACCTCTGTCTTCAAGAGGCTTAGCGCGCCAACATCCCAAAGCTCTGTTTTTGAAAGGTTGTTAAAGCCTAAGAAACAAAGCAACACAGCTATCTCTCCTCTGCGACGATCAGCTTCGGAAAGATTTGAAGATAATGAGAAGCCTTTTGGAAAAAGGAAGACAACACCAAAGGAAGAAAAGTTCGATGGGTTAGCAGAAAAAGGCGACGTTCGAAGCTTGATTCCTTCAAGGATGAAGCGCCAAGCAATCCTAGAGGTCGACACAAAAGGACCACTGAAAGTAAGGAGGTGCATCATCGTCCACACTGGCAAATCTTCATGCCAACAAACCCAAGAGGACGGCACTGAAGATGAAATCCCTAAGAAAGATGTCACTTCTGGCTCTTTCGACTCAAAGTCTTCACCTCGACTGTTGGGGGCATGCTCCAAGTCAAGTGAAATTGAAGGATGGACTCATGTCACTCCGAAGAAACTGCACGAGAAACATATGTCTTCTCCACAAGTGCACCAATCAGAAAGGAGGGAAAGCAGCTTTCGCCAACCTCCAAAGCAATGTGAAAATGTTGAAGATAAGAAAATTTCAACACAAAGATCGTTCATGCGCGATCTCTTCTTCATCGAAGACTTATTCAATTTCTCGATCAAGGCTCCTTGCTATGAAGATTGTGAGGAATGCTTTTCGAAGATCGCTTTGAAGAAATTGGACAAGCAGCAACCATCTTGTCCACAAACTCCTTGTCTGCACGAGCTGAAACTGCAAACGACACCACAAGCTCCTCGTTCGCACGAGCCTAAAAGGTGACAACCAAACGCTCCT